TGTGTGTGTGTGTGTGTGTATGTGATCTAGGAAGAGGAGCGCCAAGAATGAGCGAGTGGTGATGGTGGATGGGAAAAGGAGGTCGAAGTGGGTGTCACAGCGTGTGCCAATGCGATTTGCTGTTTGGCGTGTGCTGACAGGCGGGCTCCGGCTGCTGCTGCTTTTGTCTTTCTGCTGTGGCTTCTTTGCTCTTGGCTTTGGTGGGTTTGGTGGAGATTTTGGGTGATTTTCGAATTTATGCGGCGGATAAGTTGCGCTGCTGCTGCAAGGGTGAATCACAAGCTTTCGACGCTCGACGCTCGACGCTCGGCAGGTGGAGCGACAGTTTGAGCCAAGACCCGATCCCAGGCACGTCTTAGCGGCGGCACAGCGGCGGCCCATGCTTTCTGAGAGGCCGAGCAGCTGCAGGCCAAGATATCGGTAGTCGCCGCAGCGCATTGCGACCCGAAGTGCCCTTTCGGAAGCGCCGTCCCGGCTGCGTGGCTGCGCGGCTGACGGCCTCATGCGCTCATCCGGCAGCTCCGCGCGTCGCTTCCACATGTAAGCCCGGCGATAAAAATCGGCATTCCCTCGCCCCGATCCGCACTCATCCCGATTCCCCAGATTGAACCGCCTCACTCTTAGCACTTGCGCTTTCAACAAGATGCCAACCTGAGCTGTACATTACACACGGAAAGACGACTAGACTAGGGATGGACATATCAACCAGACCAAGAGATGGACTCCAAGTCGATGCCCTCTTGGACCATCTCCCAGAGCGGACTCATGTCGCGGAGCTTGTTGACGACGCGGATGATCTTGTCTGCGACATAGTCGACCTCCTCCTCGGTGGTGAATCGGCCGATTCCGAAACGCAGCGACGAGTGCGCGTTCTCGTCGTTGAGACCGAGCGCGCGCAGCACGTACGACGGCTCGAGCGAGGCCGAGGTGCACGCCGATCCAGACGAGAGGCAAATGTCCTTGAGCGCCATGAGGAGCGACTCGCCCTCGACGTACTGGAAGGTGAGGTTGAGGCAGCCCGGGTAGCCGTTGGGGTCGCCGTTGAAGAGCACGTGCGTGATGCTCGCCTCGAGCGTGTTGCGCAGACGCTCCGAGAGCTTGGTGATGTGCGCGTGGTCGTACGCCAGCTCCTGCTTGGCCAGACGCGCCGCCTCGCCGAATCCGGCGATGAGCTGAGGCGCCAACGTGCCCGATCGCAGTCCACGCTCCTGTCCACCTCCGTTGATGATGGGCTCCAGACGCACACGCGGACGACGGCGGATGTAGCATGCGCCGATACCCATGGGCCCGTACAGCTTGTGGCTCGACAGACTCATGAGGTCGATGCCCAGCTCGTTGACGTCGAGCGGGATCTTGCCTGCTGCCTGCGCCGCATCGGTGTGGAAGAAGGGCTTGGTGGCGCCGCGGCCGCTCTGCTTGGCGATCTCGGCGCCCTTGGTCTTGAGCAGGTGTCCGATCTCCTTGATGGGCTGGATCACGCCGATCTCGTTGTTGACCGCCATGATGGACACGAGCGCCGTCGTGGGTCGCAGCGCATCCTCGAGCTGCTTGAGGTCGATCAGACCGTTGGACTGCACAGGCAGGTACGTCACCTCGAAGCCCTCCTCCTGCAGACGACGGCACGAGTCGAGCACGCACTTGTGCTCAGTCTGCGTCGTGATGATGTGGTTCTTCTTGGACTTGTAAAAGTGCGCGACGCCCTTGATCGCCATGTTGTTCGACTCGGTGGCGCCCGAAGTAAAGATGATCTCCTTGGGATCGGCCCCGATGAGGCTGGCGATGTGCTCGCGACCCTCCTCGACACCCTTCTCGGACTCCCATCCATAAGCGTGCGTGCGCGAGTGCGGATTGCCGTACTGGTTGGTCATGTAGGGCATCATCTTGTCCACCACACGCGGATCGACGGGCGTGGTAGACTGCGCATCAAGGTAGATGGGTCGGTTCGCTGTCGAGTGCTTGGGTGCGGCGGCGATAATGTCGCTGAGCAGATTCTTGCCCGAGCCCATCTTGCTGCCGATGCCGGCGCGCACGTCGGGCTGCGCCACCTCGATGGGCGTCGCCATGGACGCAGGTGACGAGGGGGAAGCGTATCCACGGGCCTGGCCTCGCGAGGCTGACGACGAAGTAGCGGTGGAAGAGGACGACGAAGAGGGTGCGGATGCGGCGCTGAGCTTGGAGACGTTAGTCGAGATGGTGCGTGCGTGCACGGCATCAGTGCGGGTGAGCGCCCGCAGCGCCATCCTCGATGGTGTCGACGATCGAAGCGAGCTGGCCATGTCGAATGATGGTGTTCCGTAATGTGATGGTCGTGTGGTTCAAGGGCGGGTGGGGGAAGAAAGACTGCTGCTTTGTGCGTCGACTCAGCCGACGCCCGACTAGCCCCGCACCAACTCTGGCTGCTCACCGGCAGCTCTCGACTTTTTCATTCGCCACGGACCAGCGACGGCGACACTGAGCCAAAGGCCGAGCGACTGGGTGTGGCAAAGCGCGCCAAAAATTGAATAAGCCCTGAGCCTGCTTGGCTGAGCGCAGTCGGGCATCCGATCGCGGCGTGGCGATTTTCTGCAATGTTACGCCGTCAGTTCAGCCGTCGGGATGGAGAAAAACACTCGCACGAGTCTCAACGTAATTTTGGCGCCGGACGGATCCGAAGCGGCGCCCAGGCTGTTGGATGTGCGCGACTGCAGTTGGAGGCCACCAACCTGAGCCATCTCTCTGATATCTTCGTGTCCGCCTCTCTTCATCCTCCACCGCTGCAACCGGATCACCGCCGCCGCCCAACATGATTGCTGCTCGTCGCACATCCGCTACGGTGCAGGCTGCTCGCCGTGCCATGCACACCAGCGCGTTCGTTTCCAACACCAACGGCTTCTTTGTGCGTCCGGTCAATGCGCCCACCTCGTCCAACTCGCCGTCGGCACCGCAGCCCAAGCCCGTTCGTCCCGTGGCACAGCCGCACACGCCCGAGCACATCCCGGCAGAGCAGTCGCCCAACTTCCCCACAACCTGGTCCGAGTCGCAGAACCCAAGGCAAAACGCCATGAAGGGTCCGCGCTTCGAACAGCTCGACATGCGCTTCCAGCCACAGCCTCTCGCCGCCATCGAGATGATCCAGCGCGAACCCATTCGCCTCTCCAGCAAGCGCATCGCCGCATGCGACGGCGGCGGAGGCCCCCTCGGGCATCCGCTTGTCTACATCAACCTCGACAAGCCCGGTCCCAAGCCTTGTCCCTACTGGTGAGTTGTAGCCCTCCCCCTTGCATCTTTGTCGTTTTGATTGCCGACTGACCTTCTTTCCGCACTCGCTCCCTTTGTGTTGACTCGATCGCAGTGGCATCCGCTTCGAACTCGACCACGCAGCTCACCACTAACTCGATCACAGCTCGAATCCTCGCAATACAATCTCTTTCTCGCAGTCGTTCCCATTTTTGTCGCGTCTCATTGGTCTGATATGCAGGCGCGGGTGCTTCGGGTTCGGGAAAGCCGATTTGCATGCTGTGATTACCAGGTCGGAGCGGTCCGAAAGCGCTTTGATCGCGAAATGCAACCAAGATTCGAGGCAAGGTTGCCGAGTCCAGTCGACACCGGGCACAGAGGCTTGGATGTTCCCCAGCGCGTTTGGACGGGGAACGGCGAAGCGGGAGCTTCATCATCTCTGCGACAGGGTGAACAGTTCATTGAGGCGAGGCTGGACATGCTCGACAGGCCCAGTTGAAAACACAGTTGCCGTATCGACATATCCACAAGCTCGATTCCGGAAAGCAGTGAATGCTCGCACTCAACGCAGACGTCGCGCAACAGGTGTCGTCGGCTTGAGCTGAGGCCGTCGCAGTCCTGTCGAGTGCGGAGCCATTGTTGCAACCGCCATTTCCTCAACTAGCGTCTCTGCGCAAGTGCTACTCTTGGACTCCGCCGGCGGCAGGACTGTTGCGGTACTGAGCCGAAGACAGCTCCGATACGGCTGCAACGCGAACCAAAATTGAACATCAAGCTCAAGCTTGTCGCAAGGAGATTAGCTGGATGATCGGTCGAGCACGCTGGGCAGTTGGCCGTCTAGTGATGCATTGCACAGAGACGTGAGAGCGCGTTCGAATCGCCTTGGAAGCGCGGGGTATATACTTTGATGTCCATCGATGAGTGGACGGATCTATGGATGTGAGTCGCGCCCAGCTAGTCCCACTGTCGGAGATCCACACCAAGAGGGTTTACGCGTCAGCAACTCAATTTGTCGAGGAAGGTGGATGAGTACCGTGTTGAAAAGTCTGTCTACTCACAACGACTCGTTCCGGTTGGTCGTCTTGGTCGGCAAGCGAGTGTGGATTGGCTTGCTTCTGGGTCTGCAGTTGCTTGCTGAGCTTTCCCTGACCGGGAGTACCTTTGGCCGCCTGTTGGTTCATCCTACGCTCGGCAGCTTTGGCTCTTGCTTCTCTTTCTGCGTCTGATGTAGCAGCACCGGATGAAGGGGCCGCAGAAGTCGCACTCGCTCCACCCAGTCTCCCTCCACCGCCGCCCGGAGCAGAGGTGGGATTGGAAGCGGAAACAGCGGCTGGCCGTGCCGGCTCGTTGAGCGTCCGTCCTTCGCCCTGGAACGTCTTGTTCGTCGAAAAGCACGAGCCCATCTTGAAGTGCAGCAGCAATGGTAGACAGGATTGAGGACATGGAGCTGGCTCGAGAGCCAAGACTTTCCGTCTCCCTGCAATGATGGCTGTGCAGCGCTGCACTTGCGGAGGTTGGCCGAGCTGGACCCTCGATTTAAATTTGTTAGGCCGGCATCACATTTACCTCAAAGAAAGTCGGTTGGTCAGCATTTGAAGGCAGCCTTCGGCACGTGATCTGCCCGCAGCCAATTTTGGGAAGAGTCGGAAGAAAGGCAGATTGAGCCTCTGACCTTTTGCAGTCCGCAGCACACTCCTCCATCTCCTCACCATTCCCAGTCACGCCTACTCTAGCCTTGCGACTCGCGACACTCGCACCGTTCGAACGGATTCGAAAGCGCTGGTGCTGCAACCTCGACACCCGCAATGCCCGCTTCAAATGTGACCACCGCCGCAGGGCGAGCGGCTCGTCAGCTGCTGCGCTCCTCCGCAACACCCGCACGCCCATCCACCTCGGCGCTTCAGAGCACCACCAAGGCACTCCAGCCCCCTTCCTCCCGCAGCGTGTCGTCCTCCGCACCCCGCACCTCTTTCCTCTCCAACATCACCGACCGCCTGGCAAAGGTGGCCCTCGGCGACAACTACACCAAGACAAAGGAACGCGGCGGTGTGCTGCCCGCAGAACAGAGCAGGCTCGACTACGAGAAGCGCCGAGACGCCGCCATGGCCTCGGTCTCGCCGGACGGTATGCCGCTCTTTGACGACGTAGAGGCGCTTCCCATCTCGCAGCAGGCACAGCGTCAGCAGCAGCGCATCTCGGCCAAGATCCAGGCTCGTCAGCTGCGCAAACGTTTCAATGCCAAGGACCCCGTCACCGGCGCCGCGCTCGAGCACAAGTACTCCACCGCAGCATTCAAGATCTCGCCGCGCAAACTCCAGATGCTCGCCAACCAGATCAGCGGCCAACCCATCGACTATGCCATCCTTCAGATGCAGTTCAGCCCCAAGCGCGCCGCAAAGCGCGTGCTTAGCACGCTCGCTCTCGCGCGTGATCACGCCGCCGCCAAGGGCATGGAGGTGCCGCGTCTCATCGTCAGCGAGGCTTGGGTCGGAAAGGGTCTCTACCTCAAGCGCGCCGACATCAAGGGTCGTGCCAGGATGGGCAAGAAGCACCACCCCCAGGCCAGGATGAGCGTCGTGCTCAGGTACGGAAAGACGTACGCCGACAAGGAGCGCGAAGCCATCCAGACCGCTAGGAAGCGGATGCGCGCCATCGGAACCGGCGGCGTCGTACGCACCGACAACAAGATCGTCAACACCTTCCAGAGGCCAGGGTGGAACTGGTAGATTCGTTCGTACTACTCCTCGACAAATCCAATCACTCTGTACTTTTAGCCACATTGCCCCTCATCCACAGCTGCTTCCCAACGTACAACATGCGGTGACGCTGGATTTTGCCTGGTGAGATCACGTAACGACAGTGTAGTGCCAACTTGTGGCGACAGGATCGAGGAAAAGCTAGTGGGCCACGACAGGGACAGGATTCATACCGGGGATCGGGATGTCGTCCCAGCTGTCGACCGGCGCGACGCGGTGCATCGTCTTTGCCCATCGGCGAGGTGCTTTGACCCCATCCCATCCCGGACGCTTGATCGTCTTGATCTTTTTCGGTTTTGTCTTCTTTGGCAGCGGTGGCTTGTCCAGCTTGAGGTCCGACTTGATGGGTGCGACTGTTTCGAGCCGTTGGGCCGCTGCCTCCGCTTCAGCCAAACTCGCCTCCGACGCGACTTGGGTCGACCGGAGCGCGGTGATTGAAGACAGACGAGCGCGCAGCAAGTCAATGTTCCAAGGCGTCGGACTGCCATTGGTCCCGACTTGGGACTTCGTTCCGGATTGAGCCTTCGTTCCGACTTGCGCCTTCTTGACAGGTGCCGAGGAGATCTGCGCGAGCAGACGACGCGTTTTCCAACGCTTGTAGGCGCTGACGGGATTGATCCGCTTCAACACCGCCTGCAGACGGCGAAGCTCAAAGCCAAACCTAGTCTCGTCTTGCGCTCTGATCAGCTCCGAAAGTTCCGGAGCGGGACGGAGGATATTCTGCACAAAGTGCGGCTGCTTCGACGCCGACACACCATCCGCAAGTCCACGGTGAAGTTGCCACTCAACCTTGTCCACCGCAACACCTTGAAGCTGAGCCGAGTAGTGAGTTTCGACACGCCGCATCAGCTCTTCTTGCAGTCGACGGGCGTGGTCAACGGCTGACTCGTCTGCTCCATGGCGGATCCCGCTTACGTGCTGCGCAATGGCGATGCGCGCTCGCTGCACCGATGCCATGAGCTCGTTCGCGCTAGTCCGTACGCCCGATGGAGCCGTGTGGGAGAGCTCCAGCAGCGGAAAGTCGATTTGAGCTTCGCGCAGCACTTGTTCCAGCTCCCTACCCGCCCTGAGGGCTTCTGGGATCTCGAATGCCCTCGCAGATCGGAAGAGCATTGCGGCGAGCAGCATCAGCGTGAAGCAGCGCTGCGCTCCCAGCATGGACGCGCAAAGGAGTGGCGACAACATCTCGGTCCGCTCCTGTCTTTCCTTGCGGCAAGCTGCCCGACTCCTTCCCCGCCGATGCGAGCGTCTCGATAATGGCCACGAACGACCTGGTGCGGAAAAGAGTAGAGTCGGACCGAGACCAATCTCGCGTGTGAGCACTGGGTCGACCAGACGCTCGGAAGGGCTTGGAAGAAGTGGCGCACACGCTGGTCCATGCCAAGCGCCAGCCCCTGCACCCATGATGCGCAAGTGCTGCCGCTCATGCGCTTGTCGGCAGAAAGATGTGACTTGGCGGCTAGCCACCCAATTGACGCGGCAGTGTCACGCCGCGTCGCTGCGAAATGAAGTCGACCTGCAATTCGCGGCCTGCGGGTAGCGCGCAGACAGCAGAAGAGTTCACGTCAAGATCACACATCCTCGTACCACCACAGATCTAGCCCACCATTCGAGGGTGCTCGTCTCGTGATCCTCTTTCCGGGTGGACATCCGCAGTGAGTCGAGCCCAGATGAAGGATCGATCAGCCCACCAGAAAAAGTTTGAGCCTCCAGTTACAGCACGACATGCGCGAGCTCTGTATAAGAGCCAACGACGCTGCAAAACGCACTTTGGCATGTCACCATCACCACGAGATCCTGGACATCTGATTCTTTGCCGGTCGTAGATCCTCTGTTCCCAGTTGGTGACAAGCACCATGCGTCTGCTATCGCTTCTTTCGGTGGCACTTTTGCTCCTTCACATCGAGGCTGGTGGCGCATCGCCTGTTGCGCCCGCGACAAATGAAGATGTAATCATTTCGCCTCGAGGATCGACTGCGCAGGGCTCTGCACGCGAGGCCATCAACAAACGTGCGCTGAACCATCCCGCTGGCATCGTTGCAGGGCGTGGCAACAAGGCAATGCAGGAGGCTGATATCCGCGACCTGTCGACGACCGACTTGTTCAAGACGCTAGTCATCTATGACGTCCAACAGCGTGCTCGGGAAGGATTGCAGCGTGCCTCAGCCAAAAGTGGCTTCCTGCCGTCTCTCTCCGGTCTGAACCCGTTCGTGACGCACGACTACGTGGTGCGATTCGACCGGAACCGGCCTCTGGTTCAGCTCCCCTCGAACCGACGAGAAGTCAAGGAATCGGTGATTGACCTGCTGCACGATCGGTACTACCACCAACTCAACGTGAACCACGATGCGAGCTTCTACAGGGGCGGGGAGGAGCCCGTCGCGAACGTACGCTCGCCGGATAGCGCGTACATGGACATCCGACCCTCGACGCGCCGGGTGACGGAGACGCAGCTGACCAAACAGGCTCTAGAAGCGCTCGGACGGACGCGAGAGTGGGCCAAGGAGCAGGAACGTGCACACCCCGGTACGATGCCCCAGGAGGCGGTCGATCGAGCTCTCGACTGGGCGTGGGCGGTGTGGCTCAAAGGCACGGGCATGGGCGCAGGCCACGCTGACTTTCCGGTCGATACAATCATCTCCAAAATGGCCCGTTGAAACGAGCCGGCGGGTCGTCGATGCTTTCCTAGACAGTTCATGTGCAGAAGCTCAGCCTAGACTGCATTCGTCTGCCCAGCCGGATTAATGCTCGCGGCTTGGTTGATCTGCTTCGGAACATGAATTCTTTCTCCTCCCACAGCGGCGGAATTTGCTGTTGTGTGGCTGATTTTGCCAAAGCCACCTCTGAAAGGATGGCGGACGGTGTGCCTGCAAAGGAAAGTGTGATTTCTCTTTTTTTTTCGTCTTTTTTCATTTTGAAACGTGACCAACTCCGCCTCGGACATGGCGCAGCACACAGGAAAAACGCGTCCCGCGCCCGACGGCGTGCGGCAGCTGAAGTGCAGTTTCTCACCAACATCCTGCAGATCATCTTGGCTCGCAGGGCCGTTCGGTTGCCAGCGGCGATGTGGGCCTCGCTTCGGTGTCTGACAGGTCGATCATGCACCATGCCGACCGATTGGAATCACCTTACCCGTGGTGCTGGCCAAGCATGCACTTCGGTGAGCAGCCATCACTTTCGCGAATCGCACTCGGTCTCGGTCAAGTAGGCCTGCTGCCGGCACCACGGCATCCCTTCCACCGACCGGACAATGCGATAGCGCCCTGCTCGGCCTCGAAAAGCGCAGCCGGCAGCAGGCCGTGCTTCTCGGTGCCTTTGCCATCAACGCTGAACCCAAAAGTTGTCAAAATCCAGCATGCACGGATGTCCGCAACACTGCAGCCAGCCAGACCCCTTCCTTTGAGCCGATTGAGCTGCAGACAGTCCGCTTCGATGCCCTCGCCTTGTTGGCTTCGTCCTTCTCAGCCCGTAGAGCCAGCTGATGAGCGTTTGGCACTTCCCACTACTTAAGTCCCTGATCAACTTGGAGCTGCCTTGCTTCCGCACCACTCGCTTCCTTCCGTTCTTGATCCTTCCTAGAACGACGCCCCTTTGTTCTTTACGCTGCTACCAACAGAGGTCGCAGCCAAGATGGAGAAAACCAGCCGCATCGCATATGACCACGAGAAGGGCTCGCCCGAGCCCGGCTCCTCCTCCTCGTCCACTTCCAACTACCCTCCCTCGCCGGGCTACGTGGCGGACGAGTACCCTGCCTGGGCTCGCCCGGCAGAGTCGGGCGCGTCGCTCCGTCAGCGTGTCTTTGACCTGTTCGACAACTCGGTACTGGGCAACAAGTCGCGAGGCTATGCTCCACTCGCCGGCTCGGGGCAGGGCCTCCCGCACCTCAACTCCAGCCACGGCTCAGGAATCCAAGATCTCTTGCGCAACTCGAGCCACAAACGACTCCTCAAGATCATCTTGCTTATCCTGTGTCTCGGAGTGCCTCTGGCCCTTTTCGCCAGTACGCCGGTCTCCAACAGGATCACCTCGGTCGTGTCCAAGGAGGGTCAAACCACAGCTGCGGCTGCGCCGAGTCAGCCACAAGGCATCGAAGACTACCTTCTGAAGGACAGTCTCAAGGACGCGCAGTGTGCTGGCGTCCTCGAAGGCGGCGCAGACGCGATCATTTGCCATATCAACCTGGCTCGACGCAAGTACGAGCTGCTCATGTCGCGCCAGTCCAAGACGTACGAAGAGGCCGTGGCACGCTACGTCCAGCAAAACAAGAGGCAGCCGCCTCCTGGCTTTGACGACTGGTTCAAGTTTGCTAAAGAGAACAACGCCGTCATCATCGACGAGTACGACCAGCTCGAGAATGACCTGCTGCCGCTGCGCAAGTTTTCGGGCTACGTCCTGCGTCGAAGGATGGAGAACGCACTCAAGACCAACACCTCCTTTGTGCACCGCTGGGACTTTGCCAACGGTAATGTCACCACCACCGCCCCCGGCGGTTGGCAGAACGCCCGCGTCTTCCGAGAGATCATGACGCCTTTCCTTCACAAGCTTCCTCCCTTCACGCTGCTCCACAACTGGGACGACTTTCCCCGCGTCTGCGGGCCCAAGCCGGGACAAGAGGACGTTCACTCCACCGAGGTCACCCGAACCTGGACCTACGGCAACCCGCATGCGATGGACGTCATTGGTTACGGCTGCCCCCGCAAGACCGTCACCGAATCCGTGATCACCAGCGACCGCCCCTCGCTGGATGTCTGCAAAGAGGTCGACCTGCTCAAGACGCAGCACGGCATTGGCAACCACCCTTCGCTGTGCTTCAACTCGACCATCCCCGCGCTCTCGCTTGCCAAGATCTCGGGCTTCTTGGACATCACTACCGCCTCATGGTGCTACGGCGATCCCGGCTACCGTCTGTTTGGCCAGAACAAGGACACGGTGGCGTATGCGGACAAGAAGTCGCACCTCTACTGGAGGGGCAGCAGCACGGGCTCGGTGACGTCCAAGGAGAAGGCCTACTTTGGTCATCGCTACCGTCTGGTGATGATGGCGCACCAGCTTCAGCTCAAAGCCAAGCAGCTTGCTGCCAGGGCCGTCAAGAATGCACCCTTCTCGCTGGAGGACCAGAAGCGCTACCCGCTTCCCAACATGCCCGGCACCTTCGACCAGGCTCAGCTCGGCGCGATCTCGAGGCTCAGTGCCGAGTCGTTCGACCTAGGCTTTGTGCGCATGCACAATTGCAACAACGACCCCGTCTTCTGCAAGATCTGGACCGACACCATCCCGCTGGCCAAGCCCGAGCCTTCCAAGACGGCGTTCCAGAACAAGTTCCTCATGGACCTCGACGGCAACTCCATGTCCGGCCGCTTCTACCGCTTCCTCGACAGCAACAGCCTCGTCTTCAAGCAGACTGTCTTTGCCGAGTGGCACGACGACAGGATCGTGCCCTGGCTCCACTACGTCCCCGTCTCGAGGGGCATGGAAGAGCTTCCTATCTTGATCGACTTCTTCGCAAACCACCCAGAGGGCCAGAAGCTCGGCGAGTTCATCGCCACCGAGTCAAGGAAGTGGTCCGAGACCACACTCAGGAAGATCGATCTGTCCGTCTACACGTACCGACAGATGATCGAGCTCGCCAACATCATCGGCCACGATTGATTTTGTAGTCCTACCACTGTACCATCTTTTGTTCATTCATTCACTTGCAACGTCACTTCATCTAGCTGTATCGAGCCTGAATTCGTCGTTCGAAGCTGACCGGCCGCATCTCTGCATGTCGGCTTCATGATGCAAATGACCACTATAAATTGACAGAGCGATTGAGGCATTACTAGGCGATACAAATACACATAACGATTGACGGATCACGAATCCTGGTGGTAGAGCTCTGCAAACTCGATCAGGACCCTGGCGTAGTAGAGTGAAACGTCGATCTGGCGCAGCGTTGCGTCGGACCACTCTTTGGAAGCCGCGGCGATCTTGGCGGCAGTCTTGGGGCCCTGCTCGTGGTGAATGAAAAAGTCGAGCAGCATGGGCAGCTCGTTGTTCTCGACTCGCAGATCGATGGGGACGTAGTGGATCCAAGGGACGAGGCGATCGTCATGGTACTCGGACCAGATGGTCTGCTTGAACACAAGCGAGTTGGAGCTGAGCAGCTGGTAGAAACGACACGACATCGACTGGCCATCCACGTCGAGCAGGTACTTGTGAAGGTAGACGTCGTTGCGTTCCTCGAGACCCGTGGTCACTTGGTTGGCCATCAACGAGGCCAGCGTCGGTTCATCGGCAAGCACAAAGCGCGACCACGTAACGTTGAACGCCTCGGAACCTAGCCGCTTAACAGCTTCCACCACGGGGCGGTCGGTGTAGTCAAAGAGCGGCAGCGTGTTGCCGGCTACATTGACAGACTTGCG